ATGTTAATAGTTTCATATTGAATTTGTTTTGGTCATTGGCAATTTTAGAATGAATGATAATATAAAATTAATTGACAATGATAAAATTAAAAAAAAATTAGTTAAGAATACATATAAACTCAAGATATTTTAGTAAGCATATTTAAGAACGAAAAAATTGAGATAACTGAATTCTGAACAAATAATGAAATTTTATTAATAAAAAAAGAATAAAACAACATTTAAGAGTATTTTAGATTCTATATAAAAGTTATTATAGGGTGATTTTTTAGAATTATTTTTGAAAAAATAATAAATTCTAATCAGATTGATTTATATTACTAATTAAATTAAAAGATTATACCCATAAGAGTATTTAATACTTATTTGAATGATATGAAAACAAAAAATTAACCAAATATCTTGTGGCTGCTGTTAGTTAAAGCATAAATCAAAGATAATTTATCAGTAAATTGTTTCACAACGATGCTTCTGGTCATAAAAGTTTTAATTAATTTTCTTATATTTAACTTAATAAATCTACTTCAAAGCTTAATCAATTTAGTTTTACACAGTAAAAGTTATCTACAAGTTAATTTTTATTAAAACAACTTAAAAATCATTCATATATTTTTGAAGAAATACAGCATGATAAAAAAGTAATATAAATTATGATTTAATACAAATAATCTTTTAAGAAAGCCATGAATGTAATTATAAAGTAAAAAATCTAAGATTCAATTTTTTATTTTTTTGAATTACAAACATTAATTTCATAATTAAGTAATCATTTTAAAAATGAAAAGTAATTGATTATTGATTAATACAATTTCTGATTCCTTAAATAGATAAATCAATAAATTAGAATTATTTTTCAGCATATTTTATAAAATATAAGAAATTTATATTATATCAAGTTAATAAAATATTAATTTTATCAACTTAGCAGAAGTAGTATAAAATGATGAACGATTACTGTATATATTTATTGTCTCTAATTTATCCATAAAGCAATCCTTAATTTTGATATTCTTTTGAATATTCTGTACTCTGAAACTATTTTTGAAAATGAAATTCAACTTTTTGCTTCATAATTAATGGAATT